TTACTGAAAAATGCTTAGAAATCTTAAAAAATAAAATAAATTTTTGCCAACAAATTTTTAGCTACAACGAGTAGGATAAACGCTTGAAATGCAAATGAATGTATACAATAGAGATAACTTCTAAAAGTAACGTTTTCATTGGCTACAAGTGGAATTCAGTTAATGAAATGATAACGAGCACTTCCTATATGTGTAAAGTTAGTCTGTGTTAGATAGCATGTTTCAAAGGTATGCAGTAATATGCACTGATAAGTGATACTAAAAAATACAATATAACCACTCATCAGTTAAGTTATTTTTGTGCTGAAGACTCTTTAAAAGGTCAGGGATGCATCTTTTTTAAAAGCTTATAACATATATATGAAAAATCAGCTACTTGGGTCAAAAGCGATTTTTCATTTGGAATTGATAGAACTAAATGATAGGTCTTGTTTTTGAGTAAAACTGAACTTTTGGAGTTTCAGCTCTATACTATATTGGTCAATTTGCGATATAAACTTTAAACACAAATAAAAAAACATCGAGCCTTTATACAATCATTTATCCTAATAACAACAAATCTATGTATTCGATCAAAGTTTTAATAAAATAACATAAAGTGTACGATCGACTATTTAAACATAAATCTCTGAAGTGATTGGTTATTGGGACATTAACCTCATGAGGTAAAGGCAAATAGACAACTCATTCATTTGAAAAAGTTTTTTGAAAATACTAGTTAATATAAATCTCAACTTCTTTTAATTCAACTTATATATGTATAGGTGAAAAAATATACGGTCTTTTAGAATAAAGCTACATACGCTGTATTTCTATAAATCATAGACGTGAAATGGGCAGCAAAACTATTGGCTAAAATAATTTAAAGAAACGTCTTTTTTCCAATTTCACTCGATTGAATAATTCCTAAAATTAACAATGAGTCAGGGTAAGTGAAATATTCCTAATGTATTGGAGTATTAACGTATGACGTAGGTTGTAAAGAAAAATTTTAAATGATTATATTTCGAACTATCGCCGTACATTTAGTGAAGGACATCTAATTGAAAAATATTACTTTCCGGGAGCTAATCTATAAGAAATGCAGCAACGATAAAAAGCAGATTAAAATTATTGATGTCATCATCATTATTTTCTTTTTAAAATTCTTTAAGTAATACAGTTTTTTGGTGAATTATAAAAAAAAGTTTACATAATTCATAATTTACCGATAGTTCGTACAACCTAAATACCAACAAATTACTTCACTTAATACATTTTATGATAAATAAAAGTTGTCGTAATAACCACATGGATATACGGTTTATGTAAAAATCAATAAAATAAATTATTAACTGTATGCAATATTTATCAACACAGTAATGAAATATATATTAAATATATGATTTAACAAAGGTTTTTAGCGCAAGCATAAATTTATTTTACAAATTTTTTCCTGCATCTTTTACATGATACATAACATAGTACTCTATTGATGAGAAAACACTACGAGAAATGCCTATGTTAAAAAATCGTTAATAAAAATAATGAGTTCAATGTGTGGTTATATATTTAATATCAATTTGAAAAAAACTGAATTTGAAAATGTCTCCTTAGAAATACTAAAAAGTAAACATGTTTATAAGTGTGTATTTATAAATAATTTGGAGCTTGGTTGACAGTATTTGAGATCAGTATTTTAATATTCAAATCTAAATACGAGCCCATCTCTGTCTAGAGTAATACATACATAGAATTATAGAAAAGTTGGCCTATGGTAGTGCTTCAAAACTCTCAAAGGTATTACTATGTACATTTGAATTTATGGTTGAGAAGCATACATGTAACTCCAGACAGCTGAGTGTAATAGATTAAGTGTTAAATTTCTATTTATACTTTACTTAAATCCATTCACACAAAATAAGATGCTTAACAAATGAATGTTGGTATCAAGCTTTAGAATTAAATTTCAACGTACGAAAAGTTACCAATTTCAAACAACATTTTTCAATTTTGTTTATCAGATTTGTATTTACCATGTAATTGAGAAGCAATTGGAACTTTAGCACAAACTGAGAATCATTCTGGAACAAAAATCGCCTCGAAGAATAAAATTTTTCGACTCTAGTAAAAGAGTAATTTTTATTATTTTTCGAAAGAGGATTGTCACTCTTACGGGTCATTTTCTAATCTTTTTTTATCGAGAAAAATGATCAAATCTTTTGAGACTTGTAGCACTCTTGTTACAATAAACATAAAGAACTTCGTTCTAATAAATTTTCATTCTAAAATTTGGAGTAACTATATTTTTGGTCAACTAAGTTTGGAGAGTAAATGCGAACGAACAAAGTGACCAAATGAAAAACACACTCTGAAGCATTTATCCACTAATTATCGTTACTGACGCAACGACGCCACCTAAAAGTCTAGCAACTTTTTTGCAGTTTTTAGCATGAGTGCTCGTTTGCGTGTGTGTTTTTGTGAGTATACGTAATGCTTCCGAGGCTGACCTGACACTAAAGCTTCGAGCTCCCAATGGTCCAGCAGTTTTTCAACGTCAGACGCTATAACATATCTTCTGAGTACAACATAATTCAGAGATCTGGGGTAAAAATTTGTAGAACCATGTGCCAAAGTTATGTTTTACTTCTAGAGTGTACATAATACATTGACATGTGAAATTGTATAATTGATTTAATTATACCTAAGGATTAAGTATTTATGTCAGCCCTGCTATTTATTTTATCAATGAATACTAAAGTATTCAAAATGAAAGACAATCAGTTTTCCAACTTTTGCTATGCGTATTACAAAAAACTAAATTATCTAGATTACTACTCAGTTCAAACGCTTCAAAAACCATTCAAGTGGTTTCGAAGGACCATCAATCTTCGCACGTTAAAGACTCACCCATACATGAAAGCAATAAGATAGACGTTTGAAAATTCGCTTGTCTCAAATGGATGATGGATTGTCTATCGTCGAATCCTTCACTGACAACATCATTTTATTGTACATCGACCCTGGCTTTATTCTTAATATTTTTTACAAAACCACTTTTTCTTTCACCTGATAGTAAAATTTGACTATAAGAAGAAAATTTTAATAATAAACATTTATAAGCTTCACTCAATATTAGAATAGATACAAAAACAATTCAAGGCTACTTTGGTTGCTAGCTTTCTATACATTATGTACATAATTAAAAACTTAAAAATATTAATCTCTCAGAGCAATCTTATTATGAATAGAAATATCTGATGAAGTGAAATAAGTTTTTATGGTAAATATTTAAAATAGTCATATAAATATATTTTGTACCTATTTGAAACAATTGTTTGGAAATAATAAATTGTTTTGGAAAGTGTTTGCCTCAAACTACGATGAATAACGTATATCGACAACGGCATTGGCGAACATGAACTATCAAAGATCCTAACCATCAAAGAGGTATGAGTTTGTGTAAAGGTGATACATTGCTGTAGTTTGCTTGCTGTAGTCGTCGCTACCGCAAATAGTTCAAAATTGCCTCAATCTCTCTGAAATATGGTTGTCTATGAATTCCAATACTTCGCAAGATCTTCGAGTGCTTGATAATTTAGATCGACTTTATTCAATCCGTTAAAAATTTGTATAAAAGACTACGTTCAAGTGATGATTAATTCATTATCCGTAGTTAAATATTGACTATCTAAAATATCACCAAAACGTATTGTTTTAAATATAGAAACTACCTATCTATAAATTTTGTGTAATAAAATGAATAACTTCCAGTAATAAAAGCTCGCTGGTACGAATATTTTTCTATATATTAGTACTATTTTAGACGAGACTCTCGCGAGAAAAAAGATCCCTTGAACAAGACAACAGCATTCCTTTCGTCCTCTTTAAATATATCGTAGCCACTTTTGCCGGCTTCGGAATCTCTGGTACGCATAGCGGCATGGTTTCCCTGCGTAACCATCGCTTTACGAGGCGCTCTCGTGAGTCCTGTGACATATAGTATGCGCTAAAAACAGTCTCTCCAGCACAGGCGCCGGCTCACCCTGACAAGGAAATAATGTCGAGGTTACCGTTGAGGCGTGCAGGTATACGATCTACCCTCTCTTTCTCTCCCTTTCTCTCTCTCTCTCTCTCTCTCTGTCCCTCAAGGGAATATGTCGTTACCCCGTCACTCCTGCTACCTGTGCTGCTGCTCAACCTTTTTATTCGTTAAGCCTCTAAGATGGATCTCTCCGTACACGACGTTTTTATGAATTGTTCTTTCTTTATACTTTTTTATTTTTATGAATTACTCTCGCATATGAAGAGAAATTTTTCTGCCAACACAATATTAACAGTTGTTAAGAAAAAAAAAAAAACAGAGGAAGACCACTATTTATATTTTTTAGTGTGTCTTCTACCCTCTAAATTCCTTTCGCATTTTAAAATTTAACATTTTTTTACTTTTTAATCAAATGTAATATTTATAAATTCAATTTAACTCAAATGATTTGAGTTAAATGTTTTTCTTATTGTCATTATGATACCAGTTTTATTTTAGAAATATTTTTTTTCTGTTACAGAAAACGTTCTATAAGATTTTTTATTTTAAACCCATAAATAGACATTGTTAGTCTAACTTGACTTTCAACCGTATGGAAAAAAAAAGGTGAATATCATTTGAAAGAGCTAAAAAACAATTGTAGTAACTATTACAACTGTACCCCATTGTTTCTTTTCTCACGTAAATTTATACATTTTTTTTACGCAGTTAAAAAAAATACGTGGTAAAAAAAATTTTAATTATCACTGTCAACACTCGTGAATATACAAATCACACATATTAATAATACCAACGTCATGCTCATTATAAAATAATTCTAAAATTGATTTCACTTTCAAAATACTACGAGTTTAATTCCTTTGAAACAAATATGTATCTCTTTCGTGCCTTGCCTTTAAAAGCCCTATTGCAAATCCCACAAAATCTCGTTACCTACACACCTTATACACATACCATTAAAATATAATCTACTTACCCGGTGCAAAGACCACGGGTTTTTCTTTGAATTCAAGGCAGCTGTTATAAAATTGACCAAGCTTTGTGAATGCTCCACCCATTCTTCCCGTTTCGTTTTGCAGTATCCCTGAAACAAACACACAAAGGGTAAGCTCATTATTGATCGGTCGTACAAAGTAAAATAAATTTATTATGTATTTCATTGTAGTATGGACTTAGTTATATTTATTGTATGATAAATTTACATTTTTCTAGTAAAAGTTAAAATTAACGAAAATTTTATGGTCATTCGTGTATGAACTTTAACTTTTTATATGCATTTGGAAACGCTCAACCAAATGAATCTTTAGTTGGTTAAAAAAAAATTGAAGTAAATTAAGGCTAACGAATGTTATTGTAACTAAAATATTTCCATCCCTTCATTGTAAATCAAGCTGTAAAGTTTTGTTTGATTGTTTCCAATAGGTGTAAAGATTATATTGGTTACGTTTACGTGTATAGATCACGAAATTTTCATTATCTTATGAAATATTTCGTGTACAAAAACCGTATGGTGGCAAATAAATTAAAATTTGCTTAAATGTGAATCTTTTCAGTGATGTAGGGATTGAAAAAAGAGATAGAAATTGGGTAGCCATGCAAACAGCTTCCAAGTCTCTTCGATCTTCTGATACCGTACCTATACAAACATCTGTGTACTCATACATAAGTCATACACATACACCGATCTCTATTGGGTATGCGCATTGGACCTTTCATACGGGCTTAAAGATATACGTAAAAAAGAGCAGTGATAGGAATGTTTGCGCATTGCTTTTCATAAAATCAGATGCATCAAAAGCCCTCGTTCTTGCTCAAATATCATGAATTACAAAGGGGTCTTCTTAAATAAGCAGATTGAAATATTGCTCCATGGTTATATTACTTTCGTGCTATATGGTTGCCAAATCAACAACCGTAGCGTCTTATGAACATACAAGTATCCACACGAATCTTTATAAGCTTGTATTTTTAGAATTTTTCATCAGAATGTTAATAATATTTTAAAATATAAACAAAAAAGTGTTTATCTTTCTAGAAGACTTTATAGACACTGTATAATATTTTTCTCAAATTTGGTAAATCGTCAACGACAAACGATCACCTCCATTTATGCGACAACAAAAATTCACCCCCCATCTCGGGCTCAACGGCTCAAGTTTTTCTCACGAGCTTCTCTTGACTATAAAACGATCTTGTTTGCGCACATCGTTTGCAAAGTAGCCCGTGAGACGAAGAGACACATCATTCGGCATTTCCCGACGAATCGCCTTTCCTTTTACCCTCTCATCCGCTCAGAAGCGTGCCAAGAAACGACAATCGAGCTATCCAAGTGACTGCTACCGCATGTTGCATCGTACGTTTGCTTGTACTACTCGTGCATGTTGAAGACGCCATGGAGGCTTATTGCTTCGTGTTTTTTTTTCTTTACGGATAACAGGTGGATTGTCTCTTATTTTCCTCGGTAGAAATAACATTTTTCACAAAGGTGACTACGTAAATGTTATTTTTAAATTGTAGAATCTCTTTAAGAAAATGCACGAGTAATTAAACTTTAAAAATTATTATATTCTGTAAGCAGTTACAATTGGAAAAAAGCAAAAAAAATGGACATTTCCAATGTATTATGTTTGAAAGTTTTAGTTTATAACTTATGCTTTGCAAAAATGATACCAATTCAAATTGTAATCACAGAAGCAATTATATCAACGTTTATTTTAAAATGGCACAAAAAGACACAACTTTTTTATCGAATCTAGAAGGGCTATCAAAAATACTACAGTGCTTTTTTTTCACTTTTACCTACAAACTTTTTTGTATCAAGCTGCCAACATCTGTGCTCACTGGAAGTACAACAACCAGAAAAAACATCATCCAATATGTAAATCGAGAACCTTGAATGTATGGCATAGGTTTTTTTGCATAGACTCTTTTTGTAGCCCAAAAGATAAATAATGCAATATTGGATTCAAATTTTACAAAATAAATAATACAGATATAATAAATTATGTTAGAACGTTTAAATAGTGTAATATTTTTATGTCGTTTGTGCAATGTTTTGTGTTATATTTATTTAATATTTTAATATAATTTTTAAGCAATTTTTATATTGTATAAAATATGGGACGATTAAAACCATTCTCCCTCACAATTTTCAACAATATTTTTGTGTTAAAAAAAAAAAATTGGTGACCAATGATTTGGAAAGTAACTCAAAACTACTACTTGATATTTAAAAAATGAATACTAAATGTGTTTTTGATGTAGGATACTTGTTGCTTAAACTGATATGAGGAAATAACGATGCAGTTGAGAGCATATTGCGAAGTCATATGAATTTTATTTCATACAACTACTTTAAACTGCTTGTATCGTTTTTGGCAGATGTAACAAACTTGATGTTAGTAACACCAAAGTTTCCAAACGTAGTAAATGAACATCATTTTGCTTTTAATTCCACAGATGATAATTTATTTGCTTTGTTACAGCAGCAGTTAATTTTTTTAAAGCAAACATTAAAATTACTGTGGTAGTAAAAAAATATATTTTTTCATCATTTTAACACAGCTAGCCACCGATGTAGGGTGGAATATATTTATCTCGTAAAACCAAGTAGAGGAAAAATAAAAGAAAAATTTAAAACGCAATAGTTTAAAAAGCTGTACTTGTTTTATTCGTGTCTTTACTTACGCAAGCACTACTCCCAGTTTCTTAGGGTATCAGGAAAAAGTATGAAATACACAAGTGAAATTTATTAATTAGCAAAGATTTTTTATAATCTGAACTACATGGATAGCCAAACTGTTGTACAGTTGAAAAATTAAAATACGATACTCAAATAAAATTTGATTTACGCTCTTCAAAAATGCATAGCAAAGTTGCTACTTAAGCTTCAAAATTTAACACTCGCCAAAAGAGCAGGTAGTTTATTCGAAACACACTACCAAGTGCAGTAGACGTGTAGAGATAGTATTGATCCCACGCAATGGGGATTACAGCCAGTAAAAACACGATCTGCTTTAATACCAGAAACAGATTTTCTAAAACGTCTTTGTTCTGCAATTGTAAGAAATTATTAATGTATGAAACGTGCAACATCAGAAGGATGGTTTGTATTACGTACATTTTGTGCGGCAATTGCTAAGATATTAAGTTTAGCAATGTCGAAGACGTTGTAATATTAGTATTAAATTCATGTTACCGAGATAAATGTGGTATTGGAAAACTGTAAAGAAGAAAAAGGAAGAAATAGGATGTAATTGATAAATAAAACTCAACTAATTCAGTAGATTATGGTACACGGTCGACGAAAAGGAGAAAACTATTTATATCTCTTTAGAAAACTTTCCCAAGTCAATAATGAATGTAATAAAGATAAATAATAAGGTAAAAATTTTTTCATAAGCTAATTACTTGCTTTTACAACATCGTCCAACCTCATTCACTGTCAAGTGCCTTCATATCTGCCACATGTTAGTGCTTGTGTTTCACTTTCATGTTCATCTCTTTCTTTTTTGCTCATGTGATAATGCCAGCAACGTGCTAACACTGGCACTGCCTTATTCGTACAGGCCTTTCACAAGAAAAAGAAAAAGAGATGATATCTTGATCATATTTTTCTGAACTGTCTTGTGTTCCGAAAACTGATTACTAGCATGATAAACTAAAGTAATGCTGAACATTTTTATGATCATATGAAGGGCCAGAAATGCATATACTCTCGATATCAAATTAAATTTATGAACTACTGTCACTTTACCAAATAAATTAAATATGTCACATCCTGAGAAGAAAGATTACTTGTGTCAAATGAATAAATGATATATGTATAAATAAAGATCTTAGACAAACAAATACCTACCACGTAACATAAAAGATATTTTCATCAATACTTTAAATAACTATCCTTACGTAAAATGTTGTGTATAACAATTAATACGAAATTCATTTTAACAAACCATTTATTCATTAACTATCAATGGTTTTTAAAAAGGTATTAAGCCAACTTGAATACAACTAATACTTTCAATGATTATTTATAATCCTCAAACGTACAAATATTTTACTTACAATAGATTGTTTGGAGACTAGTATTCTCCAAACAATTTATTTTCCGTAGGTAATGTTTCTCTGTTGTTCAAATATTAATTGTATTTTAGCTCTGCGAATGAAAATAAAAAAAAGAGGCGTAGCAATCGGGTGTTGAATAATGTATAAAAGAAATCGATGCGAGTTTGGCACTGGCACCACCCTTGCTTCTATCTCCTTTCTTACACATATACCTGTTCGCATATAGACATTGATTCTGGTTGTGTTGGCCTTTTTGAAAAATAAATTTTTTTTTTCCTGTGAGATTAGGGTTACATTTTACACGAATAAGATTACGTGAACCTAAAAGTACATTTTAAGTATCTTAATGCTTAATTTCTTATAATATAACTCATAGATGAGCAATTCTTCTGTGCGCAAAGAAGAAAGCAATTCTTATTTTTATTTTAAGAATCATACATGGACGTGTCTATTACAAAATTTGACTAATGGTATTTATATAAATAATCAGAGACTAAAACTTGAAGATATGTCTTCCAAGTGATTTTACTTATTGTGCTAAACATTTTTTTAAATTTTTTAATAAAAATTAAGCTTTACAATTGCAGTTGTAAAAAATATACTTAGACTGTATACTTTTTTTTAGTACAACGGCGAAAAACAATGTTTCAAAATTTTTAAACAAAAAAAATTTACCAACGAAATTCTATTTCACTTATGAGACCCAATATAAACAAAATTATTTAAAAATCAGCAAAAGCCAATGTTTTTTCTCCTTTTTTATGCCTCATCAAAACTTGGGTATTCAACTAATTAAAATACATGATGTTGTTGCTGCTAAAAATCGATTAAAGGGAGTATATCGAGGAGCATCATCAATCTTGCTACCTTTTCAAAGCGTATCTGTGTCTGTCGTTTGTATAGATAATCGAAAACCTTAGGTATAATGATGGATAATATATATTGACATTTTCTTTCGGTTCATCTGCTGATGACAACGAAATGTTAGTCTTTTTTTTATTTTCTTTGTGCAAGTGCTCATTAATAATTTAATATCTCGTATTTTTCTCTTGTAAATACCGTACAACATTAAGTTGATTATTTTTCTTAGTTTAAAATAGCAAACTAATAAGATTATTAACGGCGGTTTGTCATAAAGTCAAGAGATGGATGTGAATTGGGAAAAATTTAATAATAGAAGAATCTGCCGACCCTAGCACACCGTGCACTGTTTGAACGTGACGTTTCAATACTGAGATTTCGGGTTTTATTAAAACTTCAAGATAGAACAGAACGTCTCTATTAGTAATTTTATCAGTCAATTGAATATTTGTGAAAGATTAGCGGAAAATTGGACAAAACATATTTATTATTTCATATTGTAATAATTTTATGAATAACTATTAAATTATGATATAGAAGATGTTGTTTTTTGAGAAATACTTCAAAGTGCTTGTTATAAAAAACAGTAAGTAGACCTTAAATTTAATTGAAAAAATAAAAAAATAAATAAACATATTTTTCGTAATTTCCAACTTAAATATTTTTTAAGATATAAGAGAAAAAATTGAAAAATGTATTGTTGCAGTTTACCTTTATTTACTATTTTTCAGTTGAGACCAATTTATCTCGAATCTGATGTAAGAAATAATATGGAAGATTTCTATTATAATAGTAGAGGAAAAAAAATTACTTTCCAAATAAATTACTCTGTCGTTCATATGGCTTTTATCAAACTTCGAAGAAGTAAACAAAAAAACCTTTAAAACTAGATGACTATAAATGATTTACAAATTTAGATCCTTCTCCTAGTATATACTATTTTTTAATATGTATGACTTGACTAACAACAAGTATCATCATTAATATTATAAATTATAGCAAACAAGCACTAAAGACTAACACGCTCCTCGGAATCCTCCATCGGAACTTCAACGAGAGACAAGAATTATAGCTCTGTAGTCGCTATAGTCATAACATTTGCGGACGAGTGATTTATGATATTAAAGTTTTCTCATGCATTAATTCACTTATGCAAATACATGCATTTTTTTAATTGGCAAGTTGAAATTATTATTTACATTTTCATGAAAAAATAATAAGAGTTCGGAATACATAAAATTTATTACAACAATTTAATGTATTCACGATTAATCATACAGATAATCTTGTGGTATAAAACAAAATCCAAATTTCGTAGGTAAGGATCAAACAGCTTAAGAGCTTAAAAGAATTTACGGCAAGCTCATTAGATTTGCCTTGTCATTCGTGATATACGTTTAAAAGCACTAACTGAGATCGCTTTCCCTACTTAGTTGTTCGAAATTATGTTAAAATACTAGTCAGAGAGAAACTGACAGTGTCACGCGTAAATAGATGAAATACGCTAAATTTTTTAAAATTTTTAATCAAAGACGATAAGATAAATATTTATAAATATCAAATATTTATAAAAAGTAAAAACTCATATATGGACTCCAAGTATCTGAAAAACTCGAATTATTTTACTAAAAAATTGCTTTCAAAATAGTGAGATAGTTATACTACTTACTACATAGTTTCACTATATATTTACTAAAAAATATATTCCATTCCTGCCAGTTTTTAGTAACAATAATTACAGTCAGGAATTCTGGATATTTTTACCCCCACACATTATTTTAGTACCATTAATTAAAAAATTTTTTTTTCCAGTATGATGCATTTTTTTGTGCGTTCATGACACGAGACCAATTTTTTTGTGTTAAGTACAAATTGTTTGTGTCAAAAATCAATCCACATTATAATATTTGTAAAATACGCTGACACTCACCAGCATACAGACACACATACACTATACATACATATAAGTAAATTTGAAGTAAAAACGATAAAAACGAGAAAGATTAACTTACGCTGTATTTGATCGTCGACCTGCTCTTGCAAGGCAGCAAAGCTCGTGGTCGGCTGATAGGGCAGCTGATTGTGAAAATTGCCGCAGGCGAACTGATAAAAGTCTTTGCAGGGATCCACGCCTCGGTGCATTGTGCCGAGCATGTGCTGGGCAGCTTCGTGGCAGGCACGTGATTCACAGATCCCCTCTGGACCGTCACGTTCCCTGATACACGCCTCGTCCTGCAAAAAAACGAAGGTGCGTGTCAGTCCGTGGTTCTCCAGTCGTCCGGTGAGCAAGTGTTCAAACTAGGTTGAACAAAAAAAAAAAAAAAATCGGTAAGAAAAAGTTCGGGGATGCTAACTTTTCGCTTGGGTTTTTGCTGTGGCCAGCACTGACGCGTTGGTGTATAAAACCTAAATCCTTTAATGCGCTTGGCTGCCGCATACGTTTTTTTCGTTTTTAACTCGTACTTCGCCTTTTGGGTGATTATGAGCGGGGACGCTTCGTTGAAATGAACGATCATTTGCCTGGCCGAAGGAAAGCCACAGTTCTTACGAGCGACGATACTTTACACTTTACTTTGGGTCGTTAAAGGTAAGTTTGTAAGTCGTAACTGCTTATTTCTTTTATCTTTAACAACTCATTAAAATCAGTTTTTGCGATTCTACTTTTTTCCCGTCAGATAAAGAAAAGATAAAACAAGTCGTGAGTTTTTTGGCATTCACAACCATGACAAGCGTTTCTTTGTAAAAAAATTAATTAAATTTTATCCTTCGTCATCCTTATGATGTCGAAAACGTTTTACTTTTTACGGGAGTGTATTGTAAAAAAAAAAAATTTCCAACTACTCTTTTCGCATTTTCGTACTGTTAATCGTATGAAATTGTACAGAGAGACTAATCCCGCATTTGTGAAAATTTTTCAAAATCAAGTTTCAGTTATCAAGTTTCTTATAAAATATTTTACTCTTAGTAGAGTTACATCAGCAGTGTATCTTTAAAAAAGTTGGACAATTTCAGTGGAACTATACTTTTGATATCAGTAGATGACTCAAACTCGCGAAATTGATAACGAAGTAACTAAATGATTACTCAATTTTTAATCAATGAGAATAAAATGCTCTTCACTAAAAGAATTGCGTTAAAAGCCAACAGTAAAAGTCTGCATGATTTAAAGTAAAAATAATTTCTTTTATTTCAGTAGCACGTTTCTTGGCGTACTGCTGCCTGGTGTTGTTTAATCGATACCCCGAGAACCTTATAATGTACCACGTCTCGATTAAAATCGATTCCAAAGTAACACTTTTTTTCTACTGGATTGTTATGTTATTAGAAATATCTAAAAAAAGTGAAAGTGAACGAATTAACCCGAGATAATTTTGTAACAAGATTATTCATTAACGTAGTAGAAAAACTTATAATCAAAATAAAAAATGAAAAACTTGATTCTCCCACTATTTCGAAAAACTTTACGAAACAGTATAGTCAACGTGTGGAATCTTATCTCGTCACGAGAGGTCGACTCCAAGGTGATCAAACATCCAGGCGATGTTGAATCAAGAACCAATTTTCAACGTTTCGCTTACTTTCATCCAACGATAAATTTTGATTTACACTTCCAACAGCCACTATCTCTATGAAATAATCAAACGGACTTTGAGACTCGTTCAGCTTTCACACGAAGGCTTGAAAAACTTTGGTCACACTGAATAGGGTTAATTTGCGAGAGATGGGGCTTATAGAAACGAATTTTACAATACAAACGAGACAAAAATAAACAGAGCAGTCTCGGTGATTTTCAATCGTGCAATTTAAAATCGTCTCTTTTATTACTCAACAGCTTCGAAATATAGAGTTATAACGAATAAAATCGCTGACCTACTTTGACTTTTTATTTTATTTTCAATATATTTGGTACCAAATTATACTAGTGGTGAACGTGATTATAACGAGAGAATGGAATTTTTTAGAAAGAGAATCAGTTATACTTTTTTTAGCGGAGTAAAAATTTAAAAAATTTCGTACAAATGTAATTTCCATACTCATCAAGACACGAGAAAAATCGAAATCCGCTTAATATTAAGATCTTTAATCGTATCCTATTGGGTAGAAAAAAAAGGACATTCTCATCTCTAATGCCAAACTAACCAGCAGCGAATAAACAAAATGCATTTGCAAAGGTTCCCTATGAGCGGAAAAAACCAATCCCGCTTATCTGCATGATGAATCGGATAACAACGCTAAACGCGTTACGAGACAGAAAACGTCTGAACTTAACGACCCCTCGCGCGTCAGACGATAATTACAAGCGCCGTTCTGACTCGAAGGTACGGGGGAAGGCTTGCACAGCAGCTCTTTCGCGGCTGGAGGGCACCAATGAATGGGGAGTCTCAATGGGCGCTCCCAAGAGAACTCACTTCCTGAGCCGGCGTGCGCGGACCCACGACGACTGTCGAGACGAGTGTCAGCGCCAGTCACGTGTGCTGTTCTTGTATCACGAACTAGTCTCTTTCATCTTTTCCTAACTCTCTTTCTTGAAAGTACAATGGAACCTGTTTATCCGTTTGAGGTTGGTAATTAATGATTCTTATCGAGGCACGAAAAAAGATGCGCATTTTAAATAAGAAGTCTGCATTTTCACGTTTACGGGGAGGAAAAGTTTATTTTTGTAATGTTTGACATCTGTCGAATTAAAACTCATAGCGAGATATAAGTCGCAGACAATCTGCAAATGCAAGATGTTTATAATGATGAATATGGTGAATTGAATCTGCTGGTAGTGAATAATGAAAAATTTGTGTCATCCAAACCTTGAGCTTTTACATCTCTGAAGTCATTTATATGTCAGTGTCAGAAAAAGCAGCTCGTTACTGTCAAGTATCACTTGTACTTTGTAGGAGTATATATTTCATGTCGTTTAATTATTCAGTACACTTTGAAGCAAAGAATATTAGTGAGGGAAAAATAACGTTGTTACGTTATTGCAAATTAAAAATAATAAGAGAAATTCAATTTTTTATTTTTTAAAAGCTTGTACCAAATACATCTTTTTGAAATATTAATAAAATTTATAGACCTTTGATATACTCTAGTTACAATGACCCAATTGGAGGTAATGGTTGCTACATGAAAAAAATAATATAAATCTTTTCATATTCGTAATTTTCTACAGTCTGACTGAATTCATCATGTCTCAAATGGGATGAAAGTTTACTTGAAAATTTGATAGTTAAACAGACAACTAAAATGAGTGACAAGGCTGCCTTACCATACATAATTAAGCACATGCAAGGATAGACATGGAGGCAAAAGTTCTCAGAGACAGCAATAAGACATTCAAATACAAGAGAAATCCAATTAAAACTAAATCAGAAATCTGACAACGAAAAAAGTAAGAGAATAAACGAGCACAGTGACTTCACCAAAAAGTTAAAAACATAGGATAATGCATACAGGAAGGTACTTAAAAAAAACATGAAAAAAAGCCCTTGAAAGAGAGGGATTAATATGTAGAATTAGGATTACAGAATATCAAAGACAAATATACCGACATAAAGATTACTACATCCATAGAAATACCCAAATCCAGAATCATTGACAATAAGATAGATACGCGAATAAGGGAACACATCCAAAAATATGATAATAGAGTTGAACACAGAGATAAAGACAGAAAAATAAATACTTAGCGTTTTAAGGGCAGAGAGAAAAAATACATAGAACAAAGCACTGTGCTAGATATTTAGGAATGGATGTATAACGAGGGTGAAAAATAGAAAGAAATACAAAAACATATAAGGATACAGACGCAAAGAAAACCTTTTTAAACCTTAAAGTACATCAAATAGATAGCACGTGACGAATGAACCACATGATAGGATAAAAATCGGAATATTTTAAATTTGTGGAAGAAATTGCAGAGCATCGATTCGACTGAAGAGTTACGCTCGTCGAAGTTTTCGGGAAAAAAGGAAGGCAAGATGAGGCAAAGCTCATTTCCACACCTGAGTCCCCTCCCCCCTCGCAAAGCGCATGATCTGTTAAAAATCCATTGCGCACCGATCAGCGGTGCGCATCAAGCGACGATCACTTTCATGCATCGGCGGTCGGCCCTTCGACCCCGAAAGAGGCCGCGCTCGAAGGTCACGGTCGGGGGGGGGGGGGAATAAGACCCTGACCCGCGCTAAGGTTGCTATCTGCCTCGAAACCTTATCTCCGCGGTAAGGCTTCCCCCTCTCTCTGTTTCCCTGCCGCTGCCGTGTAGCCTAGAGCTCCCTTCCCACCGACACCCCCTGAAAATAGACGCCAAACAAAACGCGAAAGGAGGACCAAGGTATCGAAGCGTTGTGACCACTCGAGTAAATAAAGACGTTGCGTGGCATAAGCAGGGCTGTTACTGTTATGCCAAAGTATAACGAGCTACCAAGCGCGTGCATGACTATGATGCTCAAGTGACGGTATTGACGGACGCGCGAACTTGCGACACAATACTGGACTACACGTGCTCGTGAGCGGCTGTTTTTTACCCCGAGCGCAGCTTTGGTGTTTAGAATTTGTAATGGAATTGTCGCCGATGTTTACGTATCGCGGGGATATTTGCTCTAAGAGTCTTTCGTGGGCTTATTTTTCATTTTGTACGTATCCGCGTTTGGTTATTTTTCGCGTTTTTTGCCCTTGTTGTTATTTTTCTTGTCGAATTACTCCTGATTCGGTCCGTTGAAGCGATAGAAAAGTTATTTTTATTAGCCAACCGTTTGTCAACTGTTGACGTTCGAAACAACTGTAGAACGCGCGGCTATTGAATCTTAAAAGCCGATCGATGTCGGGGAACCGCGAAGGCACAGAGACTGTGGTATTCCTCCTCGTCTGTCTACCAATTCTCTGGTGATGCGGCTCTCTTTGTGTGGTGTTTCGATTGTGTAATCCCAACGGCTGGCTTGTACTTCTGTTTATGTTGGATTTTTATGTTTTTCGACGATCGATTTGTTTGTAGGAAGTGATTTCCGGGGAAGAGGCGGGTTTTTGAAAACTTGCAACAATTTGAACTGTTTGTTCAATAAAAGAATGGGATTACAAACATTGAGAAGCTTTCATTTCGTCAAAAAAGTGGTAAGAAAAAGGCGTTGCTGAACGAAATTCACGGTTACAGGGTAACTTGTGTTTTTCACATTATTTAATTAAAATTAAAATTTAATTGTTCGCAATATGAAATTAATTCGTAATTAGTATTATTATTATTATTATTATTATTATTATTATTATTATTATTATTATTACTTTTGTTACTCATGTTCTACTACCCTGAACCAAAAATTAATACACCACAGTGACCTTAACAAAACCTTTTTTCAAAATTCGGGGCAAGTATCACAGAGAAGGATCCAATCGATTTTACTTACGAGTGCTGCGCATTCACGCGGCTGCTCTCCCTCCGGCAGAGTCGTAATGAGAAAAAGCACGGGACTGGCGACAAGAAGGATCGTCACGAGTAGCATCGCAAAAGTGAGTAGCGCCTTGTGTACGGCTTGGTTGCGCCGCAGCCAGTAACACGGCATGCAACATATCCAGGTGCTGCGTAGATTCCCCCGCTCGATCTGTACCATCGGCTCCTCGAGGCCTTGTCCATCCTGAAAGAAACATGTTGAACAATTTTTTTTCGGTCTTTCATTATACCAGTAAATTTTGGAATGATTAATAGATGCAGTTTTCACTATTTTACATCATGTACAGACATATTTTGACACAGTAGTCAGGTCAAAATTAGCTGTGATTGAGTGTACATGTACCTCCAGAAATAATATTTGATCATTTTTCCCCATTTATCTTCATTAGAAAAATTTCATAATGTTACTTTTGTCACTATTATTTTTACTTTCGTTCATTGATATAATTTGACACTTTTGGAAAAAACTACTTCATTTTCATTAGCTTTAAATGCACCACGAGCTTTGATTATTGAATTTGAAATCATACAACCTCCTATTATTGCATTCAATCATTATGCATCAATTAACCATTTCATTACATAACATCAATAAATAGGAACTGATCATTAAAAACACGATCGTTTCTATAGAGAATACTTTGGAAGGTAAGCTTTTATAATTGATCTCTGTATACTTCAGTATCAAATTTTAATATGAACAAGATATGATTTGTCATATTTTATATCTTCACATTAATTTTAGAATATATTAAAAGCTTTAAAAAATATAATTAACGAGCGTTGTTAACAATTCAAGCAAGTTTAAATAAAGAAGAATCGATCAACAAATGAAAACTAAATGAAAATATTGTATTTTACTGAAAAGGCTGTTAATTATTATTTTGCCCATTAAATTTATACGTGCAGACTGTAATACAAATTGTTTGGTAGTTTTCAATATCACTTTGTATGAAACGTGTATTCATGATGGTGGATTATTACAACAAATAATTCATTTATTTTGTCACAACATGACTCTATTTTTTTTTTTAAACCATAAACCAACAGTTTTTCGACTAATGAGCAAGTAACTTTTAGGATTTTGTTATCACTAGCAAACAAAAAATTTAATTATTACAAAAACATAGTTAATTGAAAATTATAAAATCAAAATTTCTTCTAACTATTAGAAAACTAACCATGTATAATATGTGTGTGTGTGTGTGTTTGGGTACATTTATTTAAAATAGATATTATTCGAACAACTAGAATACAAGTTTCCGATATCAGTATAATTTTGGTTGTAAAAATTCTTGCATGCTACCTATTCTATCTAATTTACTTTTTGCGTAATCTGAATAAGAGCCCGAACATAATTCAGCATTAGGGAGTATCTTGTTTTTCAAAGATTATTTTATTACTGATTTAAAATATATAATTAGCACGTTTTTATCATGATCTGATCTAGCTAACTTTCAATTTTATCAGAACAAACTTTTCCACATTTTTCTTGTTTTTGATTCAAAATAATATCTGGTTTTAGTTATTTATGTCTTTATAGCTAACTACTCTAGAAATACGACTTTTCATATCTCTGGTTGCGAGTGTAAGAAAGAGTTCAGATTCTCATTAAAAAATATCCCAGTTACGTATCCAAGAAAGAAAGTGTCCAACTCACTAGGTATAACCTAAAGAACGGAAAGATTTTTCATTTATATTATCAGCAAACGATGTCATGAAATTGTCAAGCTTCTACTAAAAATATTAAGAAAATGAAAGAAAAAACATAAATCTCAACTACATCTCCTTTATCTGCAACTACTGATAAATTTACAAGTATGATTTGGATTCTTGTAAGTCCAAGTTTCTAATAATTAACCATAGATTTAGAAAGGCATTGCGAATTTAGAATGGTAATAATAAATGTATAATTTGTTGAAAAATCTAAATAAGAAATGGATAAATGTACTTGAGAATATTGTGAAAAACATTAGAATGGTAACTGAGCCATCAGAAAAATGATCACTTAATTATCTTTTATCCATCAGAATAAACTTACTGAATCACTAGTACCATGAACCTATAATCATGTTTATGTAGTAGTCTCGAGCAAAGGCTCACCTCGAACGATTGGCCGGCGCCCTGATCACGCGGCATCGGCTGTTGTTGGTGCTGCTGTCCCTGCTGAGGCACGTTAGTTGCATTGGTCGGCTGTTGTTGTTGTTGTTGTTGTTGTTGTTGTTGTTGTTGTTGTTGTTGTTGCTGCTGCGCTGTAGCAGATGCTGTCTGAACCTGAGAAGCGCACAGGTTTCGTGGGCTCAGTTGCAGCCGGACGCTCTGCTCGCGAGCCGACGGCGAGGAGTTTGAGCTGGTGGTGCCCCTGCGGGCCCCGCGGGCCCCCAGACTCTGACTCACCGTGCACAGAGCCACATTTGCCGGGTCACCCGGAATCGTCACCTGCTGCAGCTGCTGCGGACCGCGCGGCCAACCGAGTTTAATACTTTCGGGTTCTCACTCGTCAATGTTACCGGCCTAGCTGGTACGCCTTTGAGTACACCATTATAGGTGCCACTGGGAAGAAAAATTGTCTTCATGGCTTGTTACGATAATTGCATGAATAAAGTATTTTTGTGCCTCGTATACTTTAAATATTTCGTTTTGTATTTTTTCAGCGAGGTTTTCTTGTATTTTAAGTCAATGATCAAAGTAAGTTTAAATATGTTGGAAATCCCTTATTTCGGGTTTTAATGATAAAATAACTCTGAAATGAGTGACAAAATATTGATAGTTATTGGCAAAAGCCTTGAGTCAAAAACTTTTTTTTTACAACTTTTTGAATGACAAATTACAATTAAAATATGAATTCATGAATTTGTAAGCTGCTAATCTTGATCACAAATTTTTATTTTTATAATCTTTTTAAAAGTTTTGCTTGAAAGCTCTTTTTGTGTATTTTATTATGAACTTTTAATTTCTACCCAGCTTCTGTTATAAAAAATTTTCCTGAGAAATTTTCGTTTAGCAAAATTGCAATGAATTTGTATTATAAACGCTACAATAATCAAGAGAATTGTGTCATCATTTTTTGAGAAATAAAATTTTGTTCTCATTAGAATGAAAAAAAACTTTCTGTTATTATAACTTACAATTTTTTTAATCAATCAATATTGACATTAGTTTATTAATATTTCATAGAATAAAAATTACATTGAATTCATAAACTGTACTACTTTGTAACTTATTTATGATTATTACCTCGTACTACTATCATAAGAAATTAATTCAAACAATAAACGATTTGCATAAATTTTTTTTGCAACATATTTGTATATTACTTATACAATAAAACCTAATTAAACGATTCTCTGATTTAATTCGGTTTCAACTCTTTTTTTAATTAAAATCAGGTAATCAAGTAAATATATTAATTAAAAATTTTCATTTATTTGTCAAATTCAAGGTTTATTTGAAATTTTTAATCGGTCGAGCAAACTGTATTTGTATAATTATTATAAAAAAATGTTAGGAGTACGTATCGTTGTGATGTCAGCTAGTGAAAATATAAAATTAACGAGACTCCTAAATAATTTTTTAGATCTACTTTTATGAAAATACTATTGCGATGAAATAGTGAAATCTCTACACTTTCTCTTGAAAAAATCTGTTCGAAGATTTATTTTCTTTTTTTTTATGCACTTGGTTCTCGTGAGGTCTTATTAAAAAAAAAAAGCCAAACAACTGTATACGTTAAATGTACTTATTTTGATTTGTTACCTTTAAATTGTTTAATTGAAACAAGCCCTTACTAATTTGAAATCTATCCATTTTAATTGCGCGATCAGTGCCATATGCAAATAGTTTTACACTAAGTTTAAAATTTAAATATACTGAGGGCTTACTGTGTGTAAGGATAAAAATATACTGTTCAAGGTCTTCAAATCTCTCAAAATCTATGCTGATAAATAAGCTGTAATTAATGATAACTGGTAAAATTAACATACATTTGATTGTTTTAAGTATTGTCTTTGAAACTCACTCCTTAAAAAAAGCTTAAAACACTTTTAAACTACTGATACTTTTATGAGGAAGAGAGAAGCAGTTTTAATGGTCATCACATTAAAATAACATAGAAAAGATTTAAAACTAAAAAATCGCGCTACAGTAACACGAAACTACCTTTATCTGTAATCATCGATAAACGCGACCGTGTCTGTGTGACGCACAGCGGACTACTGAGCTTGCAACATAACGAAAGTATCTTAGCTCGTCAGCGAAGGGAGACAGGGAGAGCTCCATCCCTCTCCGGGGTAACTCCAATATACCGACGCCACCACCACCACAATCACCACCGCCACCCATCGGTGCTGACTGTAAGCGTCAGCTCGTTCTTTCGTTTTGCTCTTTATTTACTACTGTCGATGTCGTCTTCACAAAGGTCGTCTTAATGTGCTGTATTTCATTTTGCATGCTGGTATTTTCATTTGATTTAACAAATAAAACTGTTCTGTTTTTTGCATGAAAAAAAATTATTTGCCAAAGTATTTTCAAATAATAAGACTCTTGAGTATATCTTTTCTGTTCTAGTATGTATTATAATTACGTAAAAAATATTAATTATAAAATAAATTATAAATAACTCCACGAGTGACTCTTTAAAATACTTGAAGGCAACAAAAATCTGATTATACCTAACTTAAATATTCCTTACGATGCAGTACTATGTCAACTTTGCTTGAAAATACATAATCGTTCTTATTGAAATATTATTTTAAAAAGAGTGATGAACCGAATAAGGTCATAAATCTTGTTAGCTTACTGGAAGTATTTTCAAATTTTTTTTTATTAATTTGACCAAGTAAAAAACAAATTTTTGAAGATAAATAAAATTGTTTCTTTAAGACTAAGTTGTTCTTCGGTAAAAATGCATGAAAATCACTGCTTCAGACATTTATTACATTATTCATAGTATTTTGCTTATAACTAAACGTGTATAAAACTGACAAAATTGAATATCTGTATCTTAAAATTTGATTTTTAAGTATAATCCTGTTGTACTAATTATTTAAGACACATAGTTTGGAGGGTTGTTGGCAAATCAATTGCATTAAACTGCATCAAAAAATGGCGTGAAATGAGTGGACAAAAAAATTATCTAAAATATAGATTATTTAATTTTCTTGTCTTTTAAATAAATTGTGAGACAAAAAACTGTATTGAATTGAAGTTAGATGAAACATAAGTCTAAGTAATTTCGAATATTCCTAAAATTAAATGATTATGTATTGATAAATTCACTTATTATATGGCGTTTAAATTAAAAGTTTTCTTTTTTAATTTGCATAGTTTGTGTAAATATTGAGATTACATTGGTAAGCTATAGTATGTACATAAAGGCACAGTATTTTTTGTCAAAAAGTGTAAAAAGCTACAGGAAATATTATTAATTTTTCCAATCGATCTTTTTTTTTTTTTTTTT